ATGGTCTCCATAACTTCTCAAAGTCATCTTCCTCACCTCATCACTCTCATCCATATTGTACTTCTCCTCTTTGCCTTTATCCTCTGAGGCAGGGGTGTCAGCTGCTGTTTCCATCATTGTCGGCTCAAATTTATACTCACCTTTGTATTCATCCTTATCTTTATCATCATTTTCCCTCCTGCCTATCATCACCACTGTTTCTTCTTGGAATTCTTGCCATTCTCTGTCCCCTTGGCTGGGGCGACAGCTCCCTTTTTACCAGGGATTGTTATACTTTTCCCAGGGTAGTTCCCTTTTTGTTAAATACAGTGGCTGTTTTGGCTGAGATAATATGGCTACTGTATTAATAATTTCTTTCTTGGTGGATAAAGGAATCATAACCTTCTTCATTGGACTTGCAGTTGCCTTCTATTTTCTCCCCAAAAGATAACAATCTCTTCACTGCTGTCGTTATCTTTATTGTTTAGTATTTCCTTGTCTTCACTATTTTTTTTCTCCCTCCTCAGGAGAAGAGCCGTTTTCTTGGGTCACTTTGATTTTTAGTGGCCTTGGTGAGCTTTACCGTGATGGTAATTTATGAAGGTGGCAACTGTGACCAACAGTTGCCTAAAAGAGCCCAATCAACGTGGGTAGCACCTGTGGGTACTGAAGATGCTACAGTATGTGTGATTGGATGCTACCTAGATCTAGACACTGAGCAATAAAAAAAATAGATCAAACTTTTTAGTTCAGACTTCCTGTTTAACACTATCAGCATCTATTTTACATACATTCTCAGACTTCTGAGATTATACTTTAGGAAGTTGATTTGTAAGTCTTTTCTTTTTAGGTTAGATTTTTTGGTATATGTCGCTTCACATCCTAGTCAGAAGTTGGTAGTTTGAAGAGTAGGACATGATGAACAGAGAGTTCTTTTTGTAAAATACCTGCTTTAAGTGAAGTGATTACATGGTTGTTAAGACAAATAGGATTGACTTCATCAGAGAAACAGAGAGATTTATTGGTATTTTGTGTATTATGGTAACTCAGACACATCTGAATCTTCCCAAAAGACTCTGTTCTATTTCTTTATTTGCCTTTTTTTAAAAGTTGTGGCAAGATTTCCATATAATACACCTAGTAAGGCTATGAATTAATGTTATGTTGTAATTCAAGCCTCTGTTAGATCAAACTCTTTATCTTCTTTCTGTTATATCTTAGGAACTCAATAAGATGCTATTATGTGCATCCATAAGAACTCTTAGATTCTCTGGCCAAGCCTTGACCTATAATTTAAAACTCAGCATTCCAATTTTCTTTCTTTAGATTTTTCACTGTAGCTCAAAGCATCCAGCTCACCTCACTGTCCTTTCTTCAAAATGATTATCATAGCAATGACTCAGTCCATCTATATCTTACTTTCACAGACATCCCCATTTCAAGAAAGCACAGGTGATCATTTAAGTAACTTTCTTGCTTCCACATACCATGGATGATATTGTTCCTTCCTTTGATATTAATTTAACAATTACTTCTGTCAAATCTATTCAGGACACATATCCAAATTTTCATTTCTTTGAAGAATTATAGCCTATAAATGTATGTACTATTGCTTCAATAAACTACTGTTTATTATTTGTTCAATAAATACATATTTTTGTTCTTGCAACTACATGCTTATATACATACCAGTTTTTTAGGCACTGAAGATACAGACACGAAAAAAAATTAAGGCTTCCTTTTTTATTGGCATATAATAATATTTGGGATTCAGATAGTAAAGAAGGCAAGCATAAGATAAATAGTACATTAGAAAGGTACAAAGGAAAAAGAACACTGCAGAAGAGTTAATTAAGGGATGAGGATATAGTTTAGTGGTAGAGTGTTTGCCTAACCTAACATGTACAAGGCTCTGAATTCAATCCCAAAGATCACCCATTTGAGTAAAAGCATGAAAAAGATGGTGGAGTGAGCTTGTCATGCAGATAATTGAAAAGTGGAATGTCTTAGGCAAAGACAAAAATAAGTACAATGGTCCTGACTTACAGGCATAGGCATAACCATGTTACAAACAAAACTATCAAAACTCAACATATGAAAAGGTGGAACAAAGTGAATCCAGCTATTCTAGAATAAACAATGAGAAGGAAAAGAGATAAGTACAAGAGGAGATAATGGTTCTTGGACAAGATGGTAACAGTGGATCTAGTGGCAAATGGTCAGATTATAGACATTGTGGAAGCATGGAAAAAACTGATTATACAAACTAAACTGCAAAATTTAATCTAAGTAAGTAAACAATGAAGGTGTGTGAAGCAACAACAAATTCGTATGGTAAAAAAATTGAAAGTGAATTTAAGAGTTTGAGTACCTCCATAGGCAAGCTAAAATATAATGATTGTTGGTTTACATTATGGGAACTAAAATTATAGAAGAATTGCACCTACTTATAATAGCAGAGTCTATAGTGAACTTTGGGTGTGAGTTAGTGAAATAAGGTAGAAATTGAGACCATGAGAGTAAAAAATCATCTAATGGGTAATGAAGATCATCAAGATTTGTGAACGGAATTTACTGAAAGTAATGACAATGACCAGGGAGTTAACATATGTAAGGAATAATGGGAAGTGACCCATGTCATGGAGGTGATGACTACAATGTAAGGAAGGTGATAGCAATAGGTAGAATCTGATACCTTATGTGGCAGTTTTAGTTGCAAACAAAAGAATTCACTCTACTTAGTTTAAATAGAGAATTATTTTTAACAGATAGTATAATTCTTAAGAAAAAACTAAAAGCCTCTACAGTCAGCCCAAGCTGTCAAGACCAAATTCTAGACCCTCTTGGCAAAGCTAGTAAGGGTATTGTTTCTCCTTTTCAGTATAAAAGTCATAATTCCTTTGCAGCAACATGAATGCCTCACCTAACCTGTCTCCCCAGAAGGCTCACATCTTGCAAAGGTGTGTAATTTATAGACACTGTGTGGCACAAAAGACTGACAATTACAGCTTTTTTTGTACTCTGTGTTGGGAAGGTGAAATTTGAAATGTGAGGAACTTGTCAAATGTAAAGAATTTGATCAAAAGGTTTAGGAAGCCTCTAATCACAGTTGTCTATGGTTTCATTATGATACCTAATTCTGTTTCTTCTCTTAGAGGTTGAGTATTATTTCTACATCCTACACTACACTGCAACATGCCATAATCATTGCTCAAATGTTTTCTAAGTTACTGTAGAAAGCAACATACCACTATTCACAGTTTGGAAAACATTGTTGATGGGCTAGAATATACTTTTTCAAGGAAAAACTGACACTAAATGAGATCAGAAAAAGGCAGGGTAAACTTCATCCAAGTTCCCATCACTCACATGAAACAACTTAAATTTAACCAACATACATGTATGCCTGTAAGCTTCAAGAGAGTAGAGTACCATAAGGATAATTGTAGGTTAATAAATAAAAGTCTTTAATCTTTGAAAAGATTAACTGTATCATCTTCACACTAAGAAATGATTATAGTTTAAATATCTCTTATCTGATATGCCTGGGATCAGCAATGTTTCAGATTTTGGAGTTTTTCATATTTCTGGAATATTTTCAAACACTTTATAGTTGAACAACTCTAATTTGAAAATCCAAAATGAGCATCAGTGCTCAGAAATTTTGAATTCAGAGCAATTGAGATTTTGGATTTGGGGATTAATATTGTTCTAACCCTTAAATATGAATCCTTTTTACTTATTTATCTACCCTTAGAATTTCAGACACTTATTTCTTTTGTATCAATACCAGAGCCAAGTTTTCTGATAATTTGAGCTATAACTAGTGACAGTGAATATACAGAAATTAAGTTTTTGTTAAGCACTAAGAAATGATACTAGCATATGACATTGAATCAAACAGTGCTATAGTAAAAAAATAAAATTCTTCATTGTAATTTAAGTCTGAGGAAAAAGAAAATGGTTTTCTTCTTTCCATCTTATACCTGATCAATTTCCACTCTTTTACTTGGTCAATTTGCACTTTATTATCAACTTTATTTTGTAGAAACACTAATTGTTATCCGGTGCATTTTTCACTATCTTTCTGATGATATCACATATAAAACATACCAGTTTGTGGATCTCCACTAGTAAAATTTCAATGACTGGTAATAATTGAGCAGTTTTTGTTTTCCTTCTCATGTACCTTGTTTTTAGTAGCAGAGTTCCTTTTTAAAACGAAGACAAACGTGAAACCCCAATTTACGAAACATGTAAAAGCAGAACTTTTTTGGCCAAAGTCATAGCAGAGAGACTGAAGCAGTCTGAAAACTGGCCACTGGAGTTTCCCTTCACCTTAATCTGACCCCAGAGATCACTCTAGGTTCCAAAGTAGATAGTTAAATTGAAATCTTAACTTCCTTTTTTTCTAAAATTATTGTTGGGACTCTCAGTTATTATATTACAGTTGATTGCATCTTTTTTGTGTATTTTAATCTAAAGATGAATTATGGATAAAATAGTGTGGTTGTTACTATGGTTTAAGTCATCATTGTGTTGATTATGCTCTTTTACCTGAATTAAAAAATTTAATGCAGATGAAATAAATTTAATGCTATTGAAGCAATACTTTTAATACTATTCCCTTAAAATCATTATGCATTTTGTATTTATTTTAAAAATAAGTAAGCATTTTTTAATAATTTTGAATACATTGTTAAGTATTCAATTTCTACTCATATCATACTGAAATTATTAAATTTGTTAAAGGGATGCTAATGTTATGTTTGCAAATTCAGAAATTTGTTATATGATTGAAATGCAGTTTTTCTTGAATGTGTTTTTTGAGCCATGGTTTAGACAGGTTTATCCTTCTTTGCCATTGTATTACCTGAGGTTGTCATTAGTGCCAGTAATGATTTAAGGTAAAAGTCATTTATAGTGTCATATAAACCAGTAATAGTTTAAGATGAAAGTCACTTATAAGTACTGGTGAATTGCAGACATAACATAATCATATTTCCTGTTAAACCCAACAGCTGTTACTGGAGCATTTGGAGTGCCTTGTCTCACGACATGAAAGGTCACTGAGAATGACGGTAGTGAAAAGGCAAGCCCAGTCCCCCTCGGGAGTATCCAGTGAAGTTGAGGTTCTTAAGGCACTGAAATCTTTGTTTGAGCACCACAAGGCCTTGGATGAAAAGGTATAGTACAGACAAAAGACTTCAAGCTCATCTGTGTTTGTAATTAGCATGAGTCTCCTTGTCTTCATCCATGACTCACCTCAAGTAAGTCAGTTCAGATCACATTTGAGTTATTTGAAAAATCATTTTTAGTCATGAAAATGGATTACTGTGCAATTATTAGTAATATTCATCACTATGTTCATCTTTATACCACTGAATTCCATCAGAATTAGACCTTAATTATGCACATTATAGTCCTAGTCCAAATGGCCACTTGAAATTTAGTATTTTGGAATATCATCCAGCCTCTCTCTATCACATCTAACCCCTGTCCATCTTCTTTCTGAAATGCATGTCTGCAGATGTCAAAATAACAGACCACTAACTGAATATTACACCTATTTTGAAGTGCGTGGGCATATTTTAGCTTTTAAACATTTATATGAGAAGCATCTCAATTTGGGGGATCTCTAATATCTTGGTTTCAAATATACAATTTAAGAGTCCGCATGTAATAGTAGAAGGTATTAGAAGAACTACCTTTTAAGTCTTTTTAAAAAGTAGCTGTAAGCTTCTCATAGTTGTTATTCAAAAAGTTCTGCTGGCAAATATAACTCAAAATTATGATAATATTCTTTGGATATTAGTAAGGCTTATAACATGATTTTAATTTTGTGAAATTTCAAAGAATGAACTTTAAAAATTAATAAAGCTTTAGGATTCAGTACAGTAGGAATTGGGACACTTCGTTGTGAAATACATGACAAGTTCTGAGCATTAAAATGCAAACTAGGGATTATTGACCAGTTGTAGCTGGTTCTTGAACATGCAGAGACTTCTATTCCATTTAATATTTATATACTTATATATTTTTATCACCAGTCTTTCATAGAACAGAGGATTATGTGTAGTGTGTGCATAAGGATAGCTATAATTCTGTCTTCTAGATAATTAAGAAGAAACAATCTCATTTTCCATTTTAGCCATGAGAGACAGCTAGCTTCTACATAATTTTGAAGAAAAAAGAAATGGATATTACTTAAATGTCCATGCTAAATATAACACCAAATAATCATTTAATATATTTCATGTTTAGTTCCTATTATATTCCTTTTTTATTACAAAAGTACATTGCCAAAAATTTGTAAGACTTTATGGAATATTTTTGTGTGTCAGACTCTTTGGCACACAAAATAAATAAGACATTCTTATTTTGACTGAGGATTTGTAATGCTGGGCATTCACATATCAGTAACAGGCAATGTGAAAAGTGTGTATGATACAACATGCAGTTACAACAGTAGTAAGCGATTTGTTTGAGTGATGGGAATGTCGAAAATGTCTTCGAGAGAGTGACATTTGATCTGAATATTTAAAAATACATTAAAGTTGTTCTTTAAGGAGAGAAAGATATCCTAAACTACAGGACCAACATATAAAATAAACCAGAACTATAAAAATAGAATGGCTTCTTCTGAGGAAAATTAATGGTTTTGAATGACTTAAATGAAGGAACTAGAGAATGTGTGATTTTAGATGTTCCCTTATAAAAGCTCTGACTTCAAGTGAGGGTTGCTTTCATAAAAGAATGAAGGTTATGAACATTATTTAAGATAAATTACCCGATAGTGTGAGTACACATTTATGAAGAAAACTGTTGTTGCAAAACTTGGAATCTAGAAATAATTGATCATATAGAAATTCCATGAGTTTGTCATGACTAAATGAAGTATTCTCTTGGATGGCTGTAGCAGCTATGATAAGCATTTATTAATTTCCCAGAAGGGCCATGGACATTGGTGAATTCAGAAACAACTGAACTGATTATCAAGAATGTAATGCTCAATGACCAAAAAGTAAAATGCTATGAGCCAGACCTGGGCAATTGCCCAACCTTTTGTACTGCTTTTTTTAGATGAGAATAAGAACAGCACCTACCTCAGACTCATCAGGAGGATTAGATATGATATAGCATACAAAGCTTTGGACCAGTGATTATTGTAGAGAAGGTTCTCAGTTAGTATTAATGGATATTATTATTAGCATGAAAAAATATCCACATTTGCTAAAACTTTCAAGGTAAGTAAAGATATTGATATCACTTTCAGTCTAGAGCCTTGTTTTAGATAGATACCATTTCATTTAGTTACTAAGGAGTTACTGTGCCTAAGTACCTTCATATACAGTTTCAGTTTCTCTAGCCAAGAATAACTTACAGCTTTTTAATTGGGGATAAAGAAGGGTGACAATACAGACATATAAATAGAAATTGCAGGATTTAAGTGTTATGTTAAAATAGAAAAGATAAGAAGATATAATTAGCCATGCCTTCAGGATAAGAAACTTCCCACTTTATTATACAGGGTTTAGAACATGAATAACTAAACTATGAAAGATTTAACATAGATGTGGAAAACTACAATAGTTGACAGTCTTCATTACTGATGTCTACTTCTTTATAAAACCACTGAGCTATATGGTAAAATTTTCAAAATTAGCTAAGAACAACAGTAATTTTGACATCACCCTCCAACATATTTACCATTTTCATGGACTGGAGGAAATGAGAAATATCAATATTCTTTCATAAATCACTGACTATTAAAAAAAGAGATACATGGGAAATATAACTCAAAACATGTCAAATATGTACATCTTCTAAATATTCCTCTAAGATCAAATATCACAAGGTCAAAACACATTCTATTATAAGGTTGGTAATTCCCAAAATGACACTTTGCCATACCTTAATTTCAGTTTGGAATGTGTGGTCATTCCTTCAAAGTTTTCCTCCTGAAAAACATTGGTCGTGTTCAGGCACTTGTTCTCATTTATTATTCAGGGGTAAAATTTCTGTGGCCTTGAAATTATTTTGAAAACTACTTCTTTATGCATTTTCATATCATTGTGAAGGAAACAGATGAAACATGAAATTATAAATAAAAATTCCAGAATCATATAAATAATACAAAGTTGAGAATTACACAGTTGCTCTATAGGTAAGCAATCTAAAATTACCTTAGAAAAAAACTACACAGAAGTAGTGAATCCTAAAAAAAAAAAAAGTAAGTTAAATACAAACAAGGCTAAAGCTAGGTGTTGTGGTACATTCGACTTCTAGGCCAGGCCCCCCTGGGCATCATTGCTAGACCCTGTCTCAATAAAAGTTTTTTAAAACAAAAAATAGGCTATATCAATTTTGTATTTGTATTTAGGAAAAAAATTAAAACTGTTTTTTTCCTGGTATCAAACATGTCTACCTAGCCTCATAAGAACATAAAATCCAATAAGAAAGCTAAAGATAACCATGGCATTCTTCTGGTGCAATTTTCAGAGAAGAGCACAAAGTTAATAGACTTGTTAGAAATAAATTTTTCCCTGTCAGTGTAGCTTAAGCCAAGTGGATAAGGTAAAATGTTAGAATTTTTTTATACTTTGGAAAGGTTACTTATTTGGATCCTCCCCTTTCCTTGCTAAATTTAACAGATAAATGCAAGATGAAACTAACATATTTCATTTATTTGAATCTTGTCCAAAAATTAAAAGCACAGGAGATAATTTACCCTTGTATAAATGTGAGCTTTTATACCATACTCTGTTGATAGTGGCTTCATCAGTTTTTACATTTGCAATATTAATTCAAAATATCATCAAAAATCATTTTTTAGGTTCCTATAAAGAGTTTGGGATTTGATACTTTATGGGTAATAAAATCTAATTTGTCAAAACATTTCTAAATTTATTGAGGGTTGATTATTTCATTTCTATATAGTTTGATAAGCTTGATAGATAATTTTTATTCCTTGAAGGTTCAATGTAATGAGATTATAAAATGCCTGACTGGTTGAAAATAGAAAACAGATCAAAATAGTTTCTAAGATTTTAGGTATAGCAAAAAGATATCAGAAACATATTTTAACCTATAATGTAGTCTGGATTCAAGCAGCCCTCCATAACTCAGATGATTCTTTTAGAAACATCCAGTATATCAATATGCCTTTTAAAATATGGTGTCTTAACCTCTTCAAAGCATTCTAAGTGTGATCTGATCAATGTTGCATATAGTGAGATCATTAACTTATATTTAGGTGACTTCCTCTTACTGTTCTTACCAACCAGGATTCCTAAACCTTTTTAAGAGCGCCAATATTTTACAGTTGATAATTTAGGAAGTATATATAAAACTTAGCAGTCATCACTGTTAAATAACAAGCATGTCTATGAAGACCTTTGTTAATCACTGCATTCCATGTACAAGCTATTCTACTCATTTGCATGGTTTTAGGATATTTACTTCTTTTGAAACCCATTCATAAAAAAAATTTTCCAAGTCAAATCACCAAAAATTTCCTTCAAAATAATTGTTGTTTAGTTATTAGTCAGCACTAATTCTATGCATTTTTATAAATAATTGGATATTTGTCTAAAGCACCCATTCTTGGCAGTTGATCTGATACAGTTAAACATGAAAGATACTATGCAACAGTGTTTGATATTAAAGGTTCACTTATTTAGATATTAATAATTTTCAGAGAATTGGAATATGACAATTCTCAACAGTTGTGTACTCAGTCACCTGAATATACATATTACCACAATGCAATAATAAAATATATCAATGAATTTTAAACTTTTAATTAAATTTTAGGTCAATAGGGCATTACTGCCCATTTGCTTGCTAACTAGCAAGTAATGTCATGACTCCAATTTAAAATTTTTATGTATCTGTGTTATAATATTATATATATTCAGCCAATATATCTAGTTAAATATTAAACAGAAAAATACACTGTCTATGAATAGACCAGATACTGTAACATTTTCATGGAAAATAATTCAAAATTTAAAATCATGATGAGTTGCATCTTAAGTTAAAACCATAAATGTTATTGATTTTTAAACTGCCATGGTCATTTGTTTTATTTGGCAAAATTTTTCTCTCTGAATTTTTTACATTTGAAATATGTAATATAGCGTATAGCTGCAGGTCTAAGCATATAACAACTAAAGCAATTTTAGAAGTTCTAGGAAAGCAAGAATCAAAGTAACATTTCTTTGAACTTAAGTTATATATGACACATTTGCAAATTTTCATTACTTTCAAACTAAAATGAACAGTTTGGGTTTTACAAAATATAATGGTTTAACCTTTAGAATCTGGAAGCTAATTGGAGTTCCAAAATAATTAAGCACTTTGCAAAAACAATGTAAATGAATTATTACAAAATATAAATGCAGTGGACAATTTTCAAGTTCTAACTTTCCTTTACTTTTAAGAAAATCATTTTTGAAGTTAGATACTAACTGGCAAATGAAGTTCACTTGTTTTTAAAGAAGTAGAAATAATTTTTTGCCTGTTTTTCATGCTTAATCAGTGACTGATTTTTGATGAAAATATACTTTTGAATTTTTTCTCCACTTACTATGAATCAAAATTCAGAACAAGACTGGTCAATCTCCTACCTCACTGGAAGTTCTGTCAATGAACCAGCAAATGGATTTGCTTACAAGGAAATCCCTTGGTACAGTGACACCACTGAGGTGACAATGTATTCATAGTATTCCTGCCAGGTTTATCATTATGGGCACTTAGGGATATAAATACTTAAATAATTTGCCAAATTGTCTCTGGTGATGTTAATGATGGGTTCAGCACAGTTTAATATGTATGGGATGTACATTACTGCACATATTTTGATTTTTCTTCTAGGTAAGGGAGCGACTGAGGGTTTCTTTAGAAAGAGTCTCTGCACTGGAAGAAGAACTAGCTGCTGCTAATCAGGAGGTAACATTACCACGCTTTCTCCTCTTTTGAGGTGCAATATCGCTAACATTATAACCCGTGTGTTTCACCTTTCTTCTGTTAAAACTGTCACAAAAAGTACATTACATTCTGCATAGGGCACTAAACAAGGTCTGTTGAAGTGAGTTGCCAGAATCTTGTTTTCTATTTCTGGTTATTCAGATTGTCACTAGGAGACCAAAGGAAAATTACCAAGAACTAAAGAGATAAAGACTTAGAAAGACCATAGTCAGAATGCCAGCTCTTTCAAGAAGTAAGCACAGCTCCAAAATTGAAAAACATGTCAAATATGTCTTAAACTTAGAAAATGTTATAAACCAAGTTGATTTCTTGGGAAATATATATGTATATATTTTCCCTGCCTATTCTTATCTACTTCAACATTGTGCCCATGTCTAGTGGTATCATTGACATCTTTTTCAACACTTTATGAAATTATTCTAGATCATCTCTTTATGATTTAAAGAATTGTTTTCACTTTAGGAGACTGCACTTCCTTTGATTTTTAGTGCATAAATGAACTTGCATAATTAGGCTATATATTTTTAAATTAAATATTTGTCAGCAAATAAAATAGTCCCACTTCTATTTTAAAAATACTATTTTTTGCCAAAGTTAATGTCAATATGATATTGGTATTGGCAGTAGTAGACATACTAAAATAATTCAGCAAATAGCCCTGCTTTTAAATAATTAAGATATGGAAGGCTAATATTAATAATAGATCTTTTACAGGGATTTATAACAAAATAATATTTGTATATTCAAAGTGCACACAAATAAATAAATATTTGCAAACCACACAGTAAAACATATCAAATAAAAACCTCTTTTTTCATTGTTTAAAATAATCTAGGTCAATTAAATTAGTTTATTTGTGTTTTTGATTGTCCCAGACTTAACAGTTTAAAAACAGTGAACTTTGAACTATAGGGAGAATAAGTTTTATATGATTAAATGCTAGCAGTGCAAAAAGCATAAATGTTGATGCAACAGTTTTAAGAAAAAGGGAGAAATCTTTTTGGTGATCAAGTTCTGTGTAGGAAACTGAATGGTTCAAAAAAGGGGGAGGTTGATAAAAGATTGACACTCTCAGTAATCAGAAAAAATGAACCTCTGGGATGATGGGTAACAAGAAGAACTCAGTCCTACTATGGGATGGAATAGATTAGCTGTCTACAAAGTAGAGAATACACATTTCAGGAATGAAAAGAGAGAAATGTGTTAAATGTATCTTCATTTTATCATTGTTAATTCTGATTTTCATGTATGTTAACATGTACACAATTTTGCTATTTACCTCAAAATATTTTATTGACAAGAGCAAACAAACAAAAATTTTGGTGACTGGTAATATAAAAGAATTTCTTATTAAGGCAATGATAGAAATTTCTATCATAAACAATGATGTGGTGAGACTTGTGTAAAGAATTTATAGTGAAATAAAAAGGTCCCATATGTTCAAGGGAGCTTCTGAAAATTTCCTCCAGAAATATCAACTAAATAGTTCATTTATTCCTACATAAAATGGGAGAAAGCTTGAAAACAAAAGCGTACAAAAGACTTTTTTGTTGTTGTTTCACATATATTTTCTAAGGCCCTCATAGGCAGGACAATATGTTCAATTGTTTATAGATTAAATAAATTTCAAATCAAGTATATTTCCCTAAATCTACTGTAGCCTTTTTGAATACTTTTTCATTTTAAAACATCTGTATAAGAGAAAACATATTTCCTGTGCTCATTACTAACTTTAATGACTTTATTGATTGTAATATTCATGTGACTTAACCAGAATGCTATTTATGAAGTCACAGACCCAGCCAAAAATGTTACCTTAATTTTCTAATAATAGACATTTGATAAATAGTAATATTTTAGAACATTAGAAAAAGTCAGCTTTATAGTGAGGCTGCTATTTTAAAATAAAATACTAAAGGGAATCAGAAAATCAAAAGACACTTCATGTGGAATTCTTGATTCTCTGGGGTAGCAGCAAATAACACAAGAAATGTCCACAAGTAAAGCACAACATATTCGTGACAGCAAGATAAATTTAGAAACCTGACAAAATAGGTTTAGAAAAATTCATTCTATTTGCACCTTTAGAAACAGGAACTTTGAGAACTCTGATTATTAAGGAAAACTATTGAAGAGACTATTTTAGAAAAAGGACAATTTTTTATGAAAAAAGAAAACTAAGCACATTTTAAGAGCCCCCCAAAATGTGTGATGTAGATAAAAGTAATCAGGTACTAGAGTTAAACTACTATGCATGGCTAAATGGGCAGAGTAGGGAAATTTTTATTTTAGGCTTCAGATTTTAAACTAAAATTAAAATGTGTGCTCTATAATTTAAGTCTATTTGTTCATACAGCAAGCTTGGAAAATGAGCAAATCATTTTCTCAGATCTTTTTGGTTCCTGAGTGTCTGGTAGTGATACTAACCATTCAAACAGCAAGGAATTTATCCAAATATTTTTCTGAATCAAGTTTACAAAGGTAGAAAAGAGAAATCAGAGAGCAGAGGTATAGATTGTGCATGGTACCTTGATATGTTCACAAATAAATATTCCTCTTTAGCCAGTAAAGTGGATAAGCTAGAGTTTGTCCTATCATTTATATATCTGTCTCTCTCTCCCCTTGTTCCATTCCCATAGGTAGCTTTGGAGTTTTCACACTTTGGCATATTTTCTTTATATAATTTCTTCCACAGAACCTTCATGCATTTCTCATACATTCCCATCCATCCAAGGCTTCTTTTGAAAAAAAAAGAAAAGAAAAGAAAAGAAAAAACAGCCTACAATTTGAGGTCCATGCAATCTTCTGATCTCTAAAATTTCAACTATGATAAATTATAAGAATTTTTAAATGTCACAATTGTTGTACCCAAGTACAACAATTAAAAAGTCTAAAATATAAATAAGTGAAATGCAAAACCCTAAAAAAAAAAGAAAGAAAGAAAAAGAAGATTTCACACGTCATTTGACATCTCTACAGGTGCAGGTTTTATACAGTACTCTGTCATAAGTGTCTAGCAGGGGCAGAAGTAGGGATTGAAATCCAGCTGTTGTTGGTTAATGAGGACAAGCACTAGGACTGTAACCACTCTAAGGAACATATTTTCAAATATGCACAAAGGCACGGTCTACTTCACTTATATTTCCCGATATCCCCTTAGGTCCTGTACGGAACATTAATGTAATAAAGTAAGTAGCTTTAGAAAAGAATAGGAAATAACTATATGTTCTACTCTGGTAAAAGCTCCAAAATATTTTTTATATAAAAAGAATGACGTTGCATAGAATGATCTCAATTATTACAAATACAAATAATAATACATTAGTGTAGGAATGGAAAAATGTTTTAAATGCAAGTACCAAATTGTTACTGTTTTTTCTGTTTGCAAATACATGTACTGTACATTTCTGTGTCTGAACTTTGTTTTAGAATTTTTTACTATTCTTATGGATGGATAAAATAATAAAGGTATTTTGGAATCATATGTACTTTTCCATAATGACATTAATACTGGATCATTTAATTGAATACTTAAGAATAATAGCAGCTAATATTTGCTGAATGTTTTAAATCTCCAGGCACTGTGGTAAATACACGTATGTTAGCACAATAATCCAAGCAGTTAGATACTTCAATTCCTTTACAGATGAGCTCAATGAAGTTATTGCTCTTAACGTACCATGATTTTCTCCTACTGAAAATGTGGTTATCTTGAATTTGTCTTAACTCTGCATTTAAGCAGTTCCAATTCACATTTATAATTGTGCCTGCATTGTTCCCCACATCCATTTACACTTATATTTTCCCATATATCTTGAGAATGAAATAGTTCAAATATTCACAAATTCTCACCTGGGAAATTGCAGTAGGTTTTTATCTGTTCTTATGTCCTATCTCTTTCCCATCCCTTTCTGCTGTATAATCTGCAAAGTTAAATTACAATTTCTTTTTTGCAAATTTTGATCTGTTATTTATGCCAATGTATATGTTATATTCCATATTAACATATTAATAATAGTGATGTAATACACTGTGATATATGTTAATAGCATGAAATACAGTACACAGACCTGCAGTATATCATCAAAAACTTTTTTAATGGTCCTAAACTTCAAATCTAGATTTGACTTCCACTACCCCGTATACCCTGAGTCATTGGAAGGTCCTGTTAAATTGCAGCATGCATTGACTTTGAAAGCAGTAAACATTTTTCCTGACTCTAAGTCTTGCTTTTTGCTAGTGTCTCTCCTGGAATTTCTCTACAACCCAACTCATCCATTGAAATCATACTTCCCCATTTTAGCTCAAGTTCAGATATTACCTCTTTAATAAAATCTTTTATGACGCTTTGCCAGGAGGCCTTGTTTCTTAGTTTAAATAGCTAATACTCATACTTTAGCATGGCTTATGTTATTCAAGTCTTAGAGTTAACTTTGATTTATCTAAGCCTAAATCATTGGTTTTTAAGAAAATAAGCCACAACCTTTTCATTCCTTTCAGTAAAGTGACATGGACCTTGTGATCAATATATATTTCCCAATTTGCATTATAGATGATTCATTCTGAGCAATATTTTCATGTTGTTCCCTGGATATTCTCTAAGTGGATAGTTTGAACAAGCTTAGGCATACTCAGTAAATACCAATATGTTGATGATATTTACTACATGAACAAGGTGTTTATTCATTCAGCATGAATTTTTTTGAGCACCTATCATATGCAGAAAATTTTAGGAGTCTCTGAAAAAACTGGGAAAAAATAAAATAATAAATTTTTAGTATTATTAATTATTTTATGGAAACATTCAGATATTTTGCCCTTTAATGAAGGAGACAGACATAAAAATGGATAATGAAAATGGAATTTAGTGTCAAAATAAATAAATTCCAGATAGAAGTACAAAACGAATAAGAGCAGAGAGAATCAGGTAGTTATTCTGAGCCAATGGACAACGTAAGACT